TTTCAACTTGAAGTGACCCCTGGTTTAGGCTGTACAGCGTTGCCAATTTTCCAGTTTCATGTGCTAAAATCAAGGATATTGGACTATTAGTCCGGGGCATAAGTAGACTAGTGCACCCAAGTTGGTCAACGAGACAAGGCTCAAACGAAAGCTTATGGTAAGGCAAACTTCTGGGAAAAGTTTCAACTTGAAGTGAAACCTCGTTTAGGCTGTACAGCGTCGCCAATTTTCCATATTTATGCGCTAAACTCACGAAATACTGAATCATCATGGTTCAACAGACTGGTATACCCGAGTTGGTCAACGAGACAAGGCTCAAACGAAAGCTTATGGTAAGGCAAACTTCCGGGAATAGTTTCAACTTGAAGTGAAACCTCGTTTAGGCTGTACAGCGTTGCCAATTTTCCATTTTTATGTGCCAAAATGAAGAAATTCGGGACTAATAGTCCAATGCATCATAATTAAACAAACTAGTTCATCAGTCTACGAGCTCAATACTACCCTGAGATCGAATAGAAGCGCAACTAAAGGCCATCGTAAACTTTTCGAGGCAGTGTTGTCAATTTATTATTAATTTTTTTAACATAAAATTAGGGTTTTTCCGAGATTTTTGGGGGAAAACGTACCTTCATGGGCTATAAATTTGATGAGTATGGGCTAAACATTACGACTCGATAGTAAATGAACGCTACAGACGGAGAAAATTGAATTCCGAACGCAATGATTCAGTATTTCGTGAGTTCAGCGCATAAAAATGGAAAATTGGCGACGCTGCACAGCCTAAACGAGGTTTCACTTCAAGTTGAAACTTTTCCCAGAAGTTTGCCTTACCATAAGCTTTCGTTTGAGCCTTGTCTCGTTGACCAACTCCGGTATAATAGTCTGTTGAACCATGACGATTCAGTATTTCGTGAGTTTAGCGCATAAAAATGGAAAATTGGCAACGCTGTACAGCCTAAACGAGGTTCCACTTCAAGTTGAAACTTTTCCTGGAAGTTTGCCTTACCATAAGCTTTCGTTTGAGCCTTGCTTCGTTGACCAACTCGGGTATAATAGTCTGTTGAACCATGACGATTCAGTATTTCGTGAGTTTAGCGCATAAAAATGGAAAATTGGCAACGCTGTACAGCCTAAACGAGGTTTCACTTCAAGTTGAAACTTTTCCCAGAAGTTTGCCTTACCATAAGCTTTCGTTTGAGCCCTGTCCCGTTGACCAACTTGGGTGCACTAGTCTACTTATGCCCCGGACTAATAGTCCAATATCCTTGATTTTAGCACATGAAACTGGAAAATTGGCAACGCTGTACAGCCTAAACCAGGGGTCACTTCAAGTTGAAACTTTGCATGGAAGTTTGCCTTACCATAGGCTTTCATTTGAGCACTGTCCGGTTGACCAACTCGGGTATAAAAAAGGGGAGAAAAAACACCACTTTTTGGCGAGGCTCTTTATAGAATTCGGTAAACTGTCAAAATTTGACTACCCGTCTAGGCATTTGATAAAATGCCTAGTTTGACTGATAGCCTTCGACATATACATCCAAGCTCAATGCTTTCAAACTTTCAAGGATTAAGGCCGAAACCTCTGCCGATATGCTCGTCAGTGCTATGAAAATGTGCCATCACCAAGGGGATTCGAACCAAGGACCTACTGACCTAGAGTCAGATATTTTGGCCACAGGGCTGAATATTGCTATTGATATACGAAACGATGGACATAGAGGAGTAATGCATGGAAAATGGAATGATCCTACTTGTGGAGGCGGTTAGTTGCAAATGAACAACGGAAGTAGGAACAAATGACAGCCCACGACAACACCCCAAGGGTTGCCCATCGTTTTCGTCTTTGATCCATAAGAACCACCCGTTTCTTTAAATAGGATCGCCCCATATTCTCTTGGTCTCCTTTGTCTACACTGGAAAAAACAAACACATTGGATCTAGAGTGCAGACTCTTGAAAACATTGACAAGAAAAATACTCCTGATTCAATCGGATTTTTGCTTGAATCAATATGAAATCCGCTTAAATTAAGAGGCTTGGTTCTTGATTTAAGCAAAAATCCGATTAAATCAAGAGTATTTTTTCTTGTCGATGTTTTCAAGAGTCTGGACTCTAGATCCAATGTGTTTTTTTCCAGTGTTCTCTTAGTCTCCTTTGTCTATTGTTTTTTCTATCAATTTCAATGATCAGCCCGCTGCCTGGAACCTCGGAAATTCAACCTCACTATTTTTCCCGCAGGCACCTGATAGCGGCGCGCCCTCTGCGCCAAGGCGAACTCCTCCTCCGGGAGCGCCCTCTGGTGGCGGGCCCGCGGGTGGGGTCAACACCGGTGTGCGTCTCCTGCTACCGGACGCTGCCGGGACCACGGCCGCGGTTGTGCGGGCGCTGCGGGGGCGCCTGGGTGTGCGGGGCGCCGTGCGAGGGGGGCGCCCACGCAGCCGAGTGCGCCGCCCTCCGAGGGCGCAACGTCGCCGTCAACGCCCAGTGGGTGCTCCCGCTCCGCTGCTACCTGGGCGTCAAGGGGTTGAAGACCGACCCGGAGCCGGACACGCGCTGGCAGGATGTCCTCGGCCTCGAGACTCACGAGAAGGAGAGGAGGGGCTCCGTCCGGTGGAGTGTTATACAGCGGTTTGTGGTGCAGGTATGGACAAACGTGAATGGAGATGTTGCATGTGTGAGGAATTTGCAATTTGACTGTTGATTCTTGTGCAAAAGTTCGCGAGAAACACGATGGTCCCACTGGTTTTCTCTGAAATCAACTCCCAAGCTCAAAAAAAGCTCTCAACTTGAGGCCAAAATGGAGGGGATATCCCACGCTACTCTGAGAGTCCACTTCTACATCAAGACAAACTCTCCATGCAAAGATAGGGAGCAAATACATTAGCAGGGTTGCCGTGTTTTCAGTTTTAGAGTCCCCAAACAAAGTGGCAGCCCTGTCAATGTATTTGCTCCCTATATTTGCATCGAGAGTTCGTTTCGATGTAGAGGTAGACTCTCAGGATAGCGTGGGATATCCCCTCCATTTGGGCCTCAAGTTGAGAGCTTTTTTGAGCTTGGGAGTTGATTTCAGAGAAAACCAGTGGCACCATCGTGTTGCTCGCGAACTTTTACAGAAGAATTAACAGTCAAATCGCAAATTCCTCACACATGCAACAACTCCATTCTGATGGTTTTGAGTCTGACCTACGATAGAGACAAGCTCATATTACTTATGAATTAGAGAGCATTTGGTAAATTGGAACTACTATTTCTGGCCAAGTTCAGAAACATCGTGGCGTTGGTTTTCCCATGCAGATAATTGATTTTGTGGGTGAGCCAAAAAATCGCAGTTCCCAAGATGTAGTCCAATTAAAGCTAACGACGCTGGTTGTAACTATCTGCGAAGGAGGTTCCGCTCTAGGCCCCTTCAATGTCTTTGGATGCAACTATTGTAACGTATAGGTAATTTTTCGCCTAATCGTCGAAAAGAAAGATTGAGTCCATGCCAAACAAATTTACGCACTTTTAAACTGCGACTGAAGATCTGCCGTCTTGATTCTTGCATATGCATTCATAATGCTGGAAGACTATCCAAGATATGAGCACAGAGCTGGCTCTTTTCTCCAGAGGATGATTGAACATTTCATTGCTGTGTTTGTTTCATTAATTAGACGAGTCTTTTATACTTCCTGAGCATTTTATGTGCTCGGTGTTAGATGACCGAAAGAGGAGAGGAGGAATAAGAAGGACATTTTTCATGCTTAACTAACGTCCGACAGCTACTGCTTCAACTTCTGCCGTAGCTAAAAATGCGAAAACTTAGTTGGCGCAGTCTCTTATCAATCCATCGTGATGCAGAAAATGCCGAGAAAATAATGGTTTCGTTATTCAAATTCGAATAGATAAACAAAAATAGTGCATGGACCTCAATTTTACAGACAGGAGATGAGGATAAAAGAATGAGTAATGAATGTGAGCAACGAAGAACGACATTTTTATCCAGCCACCAAATACTGTGCGACTATATGTTACATTCACAATTGTGAAAAAAAAGGCTTAAAACTGCTAAATATCCTTAGAAGTGTTTTCAAACTTGATGATTTTTGCGCAGGAGCTGCAAGAAGCAGGAGTGATCTCAAACGATGCCGAGCTGATGCACAAACTGTGCAGCATCATAGACGTAAACAGTTTCGAAATACGCGGGCCGGAAAACGCTAGCGGAAGGGCCGAAAGGTTCAAAGGCATCTACCTGAAGGCCTCGCTCATGTCACACAGCTGTGTTCCCAACACTCATCTAGCCGTGTCCAACGACTTTCAGTTGATACTCAGGGCCGCTGTTCCAGTCGAAAAAGGAGAAATCATATCTTTCAATTATACCGGACCAATAAAGGTACTAAAATTCGGTCGTTTAAGCTAGATAGTAATGGTCGCGAAAATTAAAGAGAGTTGAGTCAAGATTTCAGAGGCTTAAAAAATCTATTTAACATATTAGCTAAGAGTCCCAAAAAAGTCAAATTCTCCAGAGACATGACCAAGCATGTCAGCAAGGTTGCCGCAGTTGATCTTCTTGACTTTTTATTTCTCCACATATATTTTTAGGGCATTGAGTGGCGTGAGAGAAAACACGACTTCCCTGCATGCTGAAAGATCGATGATAAATGCGATCCTAACCCTAATTTAGACTAAGTAACTTCCTTCCTCAGATGAAAGAGTGACTCCTCACTCCTATAGACTGCGTGGATAAAAAAAGGTGTCATAAAAATGCGTAATTTCACTGATGAAATCTTGTCTAATCAAACAGAACTCCTTCAAAACGACGAGTATGCAACAGGCCTGCAACCATGCTCGAATAGTTGTATCGTAAAATAAAGGATAAAAAGTACGCCTCGCCACCAGTATGCTAGAACAAGAGGCAGGTTGAAATTAAAAACCGCTCCTTATCAGCTGAGCGCTTAAAAAACAATATCGCCGAAAGGTAAAATTCATAACAAATAGGTAACTATGTTCTTTGCACTTCTTCAGAGCACGACAGAGCGTCAAGACATGCTGAGCGAGGAGAAATACTTCTTGTGCCGCTGCGAGCGGTGCTTGGACCCGACTGAGCTGGGCACCCACATGAACTCCCTCAACTGCCCGGCGTGCCACAAGGACGGCATCCTCACCAAGCGCGAGACCGAGTGGACTTGCTCCAACTGCTCCAAGACCCTCAAAGACGACGTCGTGAGGACGACCATCTTCGAGGCGCGGCGGGTGCTCGACACTTTGGACTTGCAAAACCAGAGAGCGCTCGAGACGGTTTTGGCCCGGTTCTCGAGGACGTTCCACCCGAACCACGCCATCATGATCGATCTCAAGCAGATGCTCATCGAGCGGTATCGGTCCAACCTATTGGTGGAAGTCAAGCCGTGTAAGAAGTTGCTCAGGAAGAAGATCGAGTTGTGTCGGCAGATATTGCCGGTTATTAGGCTGATCGAGCCAGGAATATCTAGGCTAAGAGGTATGTATACAGTAGAAATAGTAACATCTGCCATGCAGTTTAACGTTCCGTGGGATGTCTAAGTGGTGGGACCTCCGGACGCAGACAAAACAACCACCAAGTAGTCGAAAATATGCGGAAAGAAAACGTAATAAAGAACATAAATAAAATAATGTACTAAAAGCCGAGATACTGCCCTGGCGGGAGGGGTAGATAGACGTATTTACCATTACGTAGTTTCGTCTACTTGGTAGTGTTTCCGTCTCCGTTCCGACTTTTAGCTCCCGGCACTTGAAGCGATTTCGCATTGCGCCGAATTCGAAAATAAATGTTGTAAATGATGATATAGTAGAACTTGCATTATGGCAATCATTTGGGACCATTGGATCAGATTGGAATCAGACTTGAGGATTGAAGTCGTAAAGTCGCAACGCCGTGTTCTAAGTCATTAATTAGACAGCTTCTTTTCTCGTGGGAGTTCATAAATGATAGACATTAAAATCAAGGGAGGTCAATGCTTACGCGCGGAAATCAGAAAAATGATCATTTAAAAACACGAGAGATTAAAGTAAACGTTATTTCTGAAAGGGAGCATGTCCATTTTCAGGTGGGACCTAAAGCATCAGTGTTTACGGGTAACTGAAGATTCATCTGAAAATGGAAGTGTCTTCCAAAGAAAGAAAAAAAAGGAAAAGAAAAAGAAGAAAAAATAAAAATAATCAGGGCGTTAAGTGAGAATTAATACTGCGAAATCATCTGCGTGCACTTTGAGAAAACTGATTATTCCATGCAAGTTTATTAATTTCCTTTTTTTCGATTTGTATGCTGTAGGTCTGACACTATATGCATTCCATCTCTCAATAGTGCTATTGGGGAACCGAGAGTTCGAGGCGCGGGAGATCACTCGGAAGGAGCTCATCTCGAAGTTGGAGGAGGCAGAGGCGTTCCTGAAGGAGGCGGTGTTCCACCTGAGCTACGAGCCCAAGTACTCTCCGGAAGGGATCCTGTTCCAACAGGCGGAGACGGCCCTTAAATGCCTCCAGGAGACCATCACCGAGTACCAGGAGGACGAGAGGGCGCAGGAGCACCGCAACAAAGGCATAAGGCGGGGAAAACGCCGATGAGAATGAGGAAGGTCAGTAGTTCAGGAAGCCAACACCTGGATACAACTATAGATGCTCTGCGGATGGCATCTTGCATAAGCAAAAATATGAAGGCGTTTTGGTTTTCCTTCTGCTCGCTGCGACGCGGGTTACTGGGGCAATATCTCTCAATTGAGTTATCATGTTGGCAGGGCCTGGATGCAATTATACACTCTTCATGAGTGTCCATGTCGCATACCTACAAAAATGCAGGCGCGCTATGTTTCAACACACAATGAACGCTTGCCGCGCCCTTCAAATTCAGATCGTGCTTCCAGTTGCAAAGTTCAAAGAATATTCGGTTCATAAAGGCAGCTTTTAGGGCGACGTATCTAGTGGTCGCACGGCTGAAATTCATGTTACTTTTAAATAGCGAATTTAGAGGAAAGCCCATCAGACTATGGTGGTCCAGACTTTCAGTCAAGATTTCAAAGAATCTTGATCAATAAATCTTTGCGTGAAATAACAATCTTGAGATTTTTAAGAGGTACCCCATCCTATAAGAATTAAGGACAACTTTATAAACCCATTGACAAATTAGAAAGTATAGATAGGTCAACCCCGTCCAAATAATTTGCTTGTTTTAAACGTGTCACCAGTAATTAGATATGCTACAGTTATACTATCTCAGCCACAGCCATTCCTAAAATTTGGTGCTTATTACATAAGTAAAATAAAATAAAAAGTCATCTACTTGCCAAGTTTCTATGGTTTGTCTTTCAAAGATTATTCAACATGGGTGGGAACTCACCTGCGAACAGAAAAAAAAACAATAGAATTAGTAACTATGAAAAAGTGTATTTCAAAAGGAGAGTTGCTAGTGATTAAAAACTACTTTCATTAAAAAAAAGAATCATGCTTTAACAAAGTAGGCGATCACACAATCAAATTCAATTTTAAGACATCTTACTAAACTTTCCATCCAACCATCTATTAAAACTATGTTGAATGAAACATTTTTAAAGGGGCGCAAGCATGAGAAAATAATACGAAACTTTGAATGGCAAATTAAATACAACACAACTCCAAGGTTTAATAAAACCTAACTCAACGAACAATGCAAACTGGATGGAAATTTGGAGAAATATTGTTGCAACGTTTTATTCAGTATTGATCGTAATGTCTTCATATTTACCTACTGCCTCTTTTTTCAGTTAATTTGATTTAAACCCATTCAACAAATTTCGGATTTAATCAAGATTTAATCGTCAGTGATAAGAAAATGTGGGAATTTCAACATGTTGTAGTTGATTGGTGTTTGTTGGAAATTATTATTACCTTTTTTTTTTTTTTTTTTTTTTTTTTTTTTTTTTTTTTTTTNTTTTTTTTTTTTTTTTTTTTTTTTTTTTTTTTTTTTTTTTTTTTTTTTTTTACGGTAAATCTAAATAAATCGATTTATTCTCACTGCGATTATATGGCACCGAAAACAAACTTGGCAACCTTCCTGAATTCGCGCGCTTAAAAACAACGGCGAAAATCGTCATGACTTCAATCGATCAGCTGAGAAAATAACGCACTCTTAATGGAGTCAGTAAAGATGACATTGGAGCAGTTGTATTCGTTACTTTCTTTGTATTATTCACTTAAATGACCGACCTAAGAATAGAAAACTTTTTATGTTAAAAATAATGCCCAGTTTTTCACCGCCTCTTTCAATATTCTTGTTTCCGTGCATCGGTCTCTTCATAAACCTCGTAGACTCCCAACCTCTCAGCAGTGAGTACAATTGTTTTTTGGTTATATTTCCACGTGTTGTTGTTGCGTCGATATCTACGGTCGTACCTCATAAACAATAAAAAAAAAACATGCTGGCAATCACTGGCTCATGACTTTCGATAGTTCTATTTAGTCCTCTCTCGATGAATTGTGAGGTCCATTTTCAATCGCCCCTGGACTTGAAAGTCTTTTGTGAGATTAATTCATTTTTAATCTATCTTTTCCAACTTTTATGTGATAGATACTCTACAATTTGTATGGAATTAAGACGGCAGACTGATGGTTTATATTCATTCATTAAGTTGCTGGAAAAACGCAGGCAGGAAAGGTATTTTAGATGGATATAGTTTAAGAAAAGCTATATAATAATGACCAATTCATACAATTTCAGTAAAGCAAGCGAAATTTGAAATGATCTCTTTTTGGTTCCATGCGGCTTGTACCGTGGTTAAACCATTTTACATGAATTTCGAACCCTACCTGGCGCCACAATTCAGACGAAACTACGATTTCCTCAAAAAATTAAGGAGACGGTATCTCTAACTGAGGGCGCTTATCGGGAAAATTCAGTAGAGGATAATGGTTTTGTTTTGACCCTAAGTCCGACCATTCAACCCTCGGGCCCCGGCCCCCTGTACCCAAAAAATGAATATAATCGCGACTGACTCTCGAATATTTTTTTGCAGGTGAGGTTGAAAACGGGATCTCATCAAAAGCGCACGATACTCTTCGACCGGCCGATCAACAACTCCAAGACGCGTCTAACGCCTTCTTCCCCGGNTTTATATTCATTCATTAAGTTGCTGGAAAAACGCAGGCAGGAAAGGTATTTTAGATGGATATAGTTTAAGAAAAGCTATATAATAATGACCAATTCATACAATTTCAGTAAAGCAAGCGAAATTTGAAATGATCTCTTTTTGGTTCCATGCGGCTTGTACCGTGGTTAAACCATTTTACATGAATTTCGAACCCTACCTGGCGCCACAATTCAGACGAAACTACGATTTCCTCAAAAAATTAAGGAGACGGTATCTCTAACTGAGGGCGCTTATCGGGAAAATTCAGTAGAGGATAATGGTTTTGTTTTGACCCTAAGTCCGACCATTCAAACCTCGGGCCCCGGCCCCCTGTACCCAAAAAATGAATATAATCGCGACTGACTCTCGAATATTATTTTGCAGGTGAGGTTGAAAACGGGATCTCATCAAAAGCGCACGATACTCACCGACCGGCCGATCAACAGCTCCAAGACGCGTCTAGCGCCTTCTTCACCGGCAACCAGGAGGGGCCCAGCCCCGGGAACGTAGGCAATCCGGTGAACAGCCAAGTCATACCCAACTTCGGGAACGTAGGCAATCACGTGGGGCCTAACGCCGGAAACTTGGGCAATCCATTCGACAACCGCCGCCTCTGGCCCAATAGCCCCGGATTTCCTCAAGCTTATCTCAGTCCCAACGCCATCTACACCGCCAGGCAAGAACCCCAACTCTTCTATTACAACAACTCAGCCATCGAGTACCAGGGGCTCGTTCCAGGAGACAAGATCCAATACCCAGACCCTCACCTCTCCTCACTACCGAATGCCAAGTACGCCAATCCCCAGCCAGTGGGCTACGACCCGAGCGGGAATTTGATCTATGACCACGGCTACGGAATTCAAAGCAGCCCTGTTAATTACCAAACTGCACCGGTAGGTGTCGCTGGTGGCGTCATGGGTCCGTCGAACCCGTTTTCTTTTGGGAACGTGTCGAGGGGTTTCAGCAGCGAGCAAGGTTTCTACAACCCTAGTTACGGGGTGCACACCGAACAAGACCCAAAATTAGGAGAGAGGAAACTTCTCAGAGCAGCGGTGCCGGAAGGTGGGCCTGTGTTCCGAGCGAGACGAGAGATGCCAACCGGTTTCGGCAAGAAAGACCGCGCCGTCGGACGGAGAGATAGTCTTTTGAAGCAAATATTAGGCTCTGTTGGGGAGGACTTCAAAGTTCAAAAAGTGGGGCCGATTAGTTTAGGGGATAAAATTTTGAAACGTGAAGCGGATTTGGTTGTGATTCAGAAGAAAAGCGCAGAAAAAAGTAAACGAGATAGTCACCGAGATACCGCTTTTGATAGAAGAATTCAAAATTCTGACGGGTTTGAGTCGGTTCGGAAGGACTCAAGCTCTGAAACCGGTTCGCAAGGAGGAGATTCGGAAGGAAAAGCTGTGATCCGCCGGGAAGCGAAATCAAATTCAGGGACTATCAGACCCGATGCTGCGGGGAGCTATCGAAAAACCGGTTATCACAGTGAAAAACTGAAAAACCGGAGAGAAGTTGGAGTCAGAACCGGTTCGACGAGTGTTTTGCCTGATCTCAGAGGGAAACCAGTTTTCCGACGAGCAGCGAGTGTTCCCCTCGAAAGAAAAGCTTCGGACATCCTGCGAGAGAGAATAATGCACTGGAAAGAGGCTAATCATCGATTCAGCTCTGGAGATGAAATTTCTGACGGCTTCAGAGTAAAAATGCTACAGAGGCGAGCAGCAGACTTCAAAACCGGTTTCAGGGAAAAATCATCGGACGGTACAGGAGAAGAATCGAAGTATGCGCATGAAAAATCATCCGATCGCAAGTTTGAGGAGAGAGGGGTGAACCGGTTACGAAGACACCCTAAAGACGACAAAAAGTGCTTGTGTACCTCCAAGGTCCCCGTCAACGCTATAGTCCCATGCGATCGGGCCAAAACAGTACCGACCCCAAGGACACCCCCATCTAAGCACAATCTCGGAATGTGCACGACGAGATGCGTCCTGAACATCCTGGTCCCGTGCTCCGGAAGGGGCAGAAGCGGACTCTCCGAGGTTCCTGAAAACGCCATCGTCGCATCCGAGGAAACCGGTCGTGAAAATCAGGTTCGCGGTTCTGCGGAGGATGCCCTGAAGCGAGATGAAACTTCTCGAACGGAGGATCTGCATGGTCCTGATCTGGTCCAGAGGAACTCTAAGCAGGAGGAGGAAACCGGAAATGAGTCCAGCCGGGCGGCGACCGTGGAAAAGCAGACTTCCGGTCTGGCGGGGTCCACGGAACATGAGAAAGCTCAAAGGAGCTCCGCGGAAACGGAAAAAGAGGGTAAAGAACAGGATTGAGACTGGTCAATAGGACGTATTTATGCTAAAAGGAACTATGTCTCATGTAAACCCTATGGACGTAGTTCCTTTTGGCATAAATACGTCCAATACTGAGGCGCTAAGGAGAAACGCCAAGTGAGTCTTCGAAAGTTACCAAATTTTCTCGTATTAAATTGCTGATAGAGAAAATACGTGGACTAAATTGACTGGATATACACTGTAATAAATTGACTGTAATTACAAATCCAATGAGAGATCTTAAAGGATATGCTTTCAAAGTTCTTAGAAGAAATTGTATCGGAAGACATGTAGGAACTTTCGAAATCTCATGAAGCATTTTTCTTTAGCACAACCGCGTCGTTTTAATTGTATACATTAAATGTAAATACAGCTTAAGCACACTTGTTGCGGTACAATACTGTGAAGTTTGTGGCTATATTAAAACTTGTCTTAAGATTAAAAGTTTCGTTGTGTTGAATTTAGAAGTTTGATTTTTTCTTACTTTACTTGCATCAATAAATTCTATCTATATTTATATCTATATCCACTTCGCAAGGAAAGATACAGGATGCCTTGATGACTTTGATAAGTTATCATGTTTCTTTAATGTAAGTATTTGGACGAAAATCTAAGATAACATTAAGTTTTTTTCAAAAGCTCATGAAAAATACAATTCACTGAAAGACTCAAAATAAACTCTTGAGTAAGAACTCGTATTCATTGTCTACATTCACAAATAGGTAAATTCTATTCTTTTTTTGAAAATCCAAATATAAGAAAGAAAAGACAAAAACATCATAAGTTTAAGTATAATTGGACTGCATTTTGCAATTTCTACCTATAAATTCTGGCTCATCTGAAAAAGCACTTATGTGCTCAGGAAAGCTAATGGTACATACATTGTTTTTAAACTGGGCCGGAATTTATAGGTCCAAATTGCAAAATGTAGTCAAATTGACCTATACCTCTACGAATATGAAAGCAAGTTGGAAGAAACCATGGATTGATCTACAATGGTCAATTTGTACGCAGTTTATATCTGTATGTTAGCAGTTCCAAACTATTCCACATTTCGTCGCTCTTCTGACGTAAGGGCGTATCTCAGTTTCCACGCAAGGCCTGAACTCCGTAAGACTCAATGCTTTCCGCGGCTCACGTGGAAATTAAGATACGCCCTTACGTCCGAGGAGCGATGACTTATCTGTCATTAAAAGTCGCGATTCTCTCGCGAGGGGCTTGGGCTCAAAAATCACATACCTTCCTTGAAAGCCCATTTAGATAGACTCCTTTCGTTTGCATGCGTCTACTTGCTCAATTGTTGATTAATAAATCATTCTAATAAGTGCTACCCAGAGTGTCTACAAGTCCGGAATTTCCGAATAGTCCGGAAAAAGTACTAATTTTTTAAGGGCGGTCCGGAAGCACTGAAAAAGTGCGGAAATTCCGCAGGAAAGACCGGAGTTTTTCCATTTAGCTTTTCATTTTTGTCGCAAGTTGAGCGAGAAATTCAAATTTTTGAAATATTTTGAATCCGTCAATTGAAGGTCAAAAAAGCACTAAATATTTATGTTGAGAGGGTACTGAATTTCTTGGGAATGTACTGAAAAAGTACTGATTTTTGGCCAGCTGTTTTAGTAGACACCATGGATCTAGAGTCCAGATTCTTGAAAACATTGACAAGAAAAAGGACTCTTGGATCAAAAGGAAATCCGCTCAAATTAAGAGGCTTGGTTCTTGATTTAAGCTTAAATCTGATTGAATCAAGAGTACTTTTTCTTGTCGATGTTTTTAAGAGTCTGGACTCTAGATCCAATGTTTTTTTTCCCCCCAGTGATCGATGCGCATCTGAAATTTTTCCCTTGCGTCTATGAGAATACTAAGGCGTCGGAATCAATGTACAGCATTTCTTTGCGGATAATGGCTGAATTACAAGCTCTTGGAACAATATTATACTGATTTTTGGCCAGCCTGTTTTAGTATAGACACCCTGGCTATCGATGCGCATCTGAAAATTTCCCCTTGCGTCTATGAGAATACTAAGGCGTCGGAATCAATGTGCAGCATTTCTTTGCGGATAATGGCTCAATTACAACCTCTTGGAACAATATTATGACCCGAGCATCGAGCAAAGCTCCTCGGCGGAAGGGACTCATGCGACCAGAGGCGGAGTAATTGAGACAGGGGCCAGTTAATGGGGGCCAATTTAGCGGGTGAACCTGATCGGGATCAATGGACATCGCGCTGGGTTCACATCACATTCAAAACAACTCTTGAGCGTCGAACAATCGGGCATTATTCGCCTGCGCCAAAGCGCATCCACTCGCTGCGAATGCGCTACCTGGAGTCATAAACCAATAATCGTTGCCGAACCGTTTTGAATCGAAAATCAAAGGGGGGCGGTGGCCAATAAACCGCAAGACTGGGCAAGAGTTGAGGTGATTCGACGGACACCACTTTTTGTGTCAGAGCGACGTGCGATGTATCGCATCGATTCGTTGCATGATTTCATCATCGCTAATCATAATTTTTTCGAATTTTAAGATCCCACTTCTGTTGCCATGAGACAAAAGAATCCATGAATTTGATAAAGAAATTCAACGTCATAAAGGCAGGGCTTTTTTAGAGGAAAAATATTGCATTCGAGTGTGGTTCCGATATCAGTATCGAATGCGATATTCTTCCTCTAAAAATCCCTGCCTTTATTACGATGAATTTCTTTGTCAAATTTGGTACATGAATTCTTCAGTCTCACGACAACAAAAGTGCGATCTCAAAATTCAAAAAAATGACAAGAAGCTGGAAGTATGGAACGAATCTATGCGGCTTTTCGCACGTCGCCCTGAAACCAAAAATGACCTCAGTCGAATCACCTCAAGCCGCTGATAGACATGCTTTGTCCGCACAATTTCACGTAGAATACTTTAAATAAACAGAAAACTTCCAAAATCGACGTAAATGTGAAAATCAAGTTCATAGTTCACATAATCAACATCACAATCGCCGGAAAATTTGCACGCAAATTTTTGCTTCAACTGCGAGTGCTTAAAGAGCTGATTTCGCAGTATTTTTTACAATTTTTTCTGTTATAGGAAATAGTAGAAAAAATAGATATAAAATGGAGAAAATGCAGCGCTTTATGACGTCATCTAGCGACATTCTCCATCGAAGTGCACGTATTATAGCAACTTCGGTTGATTTGTAAAATGACAGGCACAGTAGAAAAAAAGCAAACGTTTCTCTACGACCGTGGCTTCGGAAAGAATATAGGAACAGCACAATCGTTCACGTTAAACGAATGCGCATGTTTTAAATCAACATTTTTTTGTGAGAGGGAACTATGCCGGATCATCTGCTTTTTTATTTACTCAAAACTTTAGTTTGCGAGCTGTGTTACCCATGGTGCTCCGCAGTGAATATTCTCGCGATAAACTGTGAATGACTCAGCTCCGGAAAAGTACGTGTCTGAATTGAGTGCCGTAGGCTGGTAACATTTGAGAATTTTCCAGAATTATAAAAATTACGATAAAAAGCAGTACCTATGATCCAAAAATTGTGTTTTTTCTTCGCTGTGTTCTATGTAAGTTATCATACTAAAATTTACGTAAAATTAAGTACACATAATACCGCATACCGATAGTGGAACTACCAGACCCCGTATTTTGTTTGCTATATTTAAAAATCTCTGATCCCAATTTTTTTTTTTTTTTTGGTGAAGGAGAACAAATCAATAACAATCCTTAATGTTTTCACAGAGATTTTTTCGCACAGAGAGGACATATCATGGAAGTTTTCAAGAATTAACGTTAAGTAGTTTCCTATTTAAAAAATACTGTGAGACAGTCTGCAACGTCGCAAACCGAGATAAGTGGTTTTATAGTTGAACCATGGTTCACTCGTGATAAAAATTGATTTTACGATGAGCGTCTCTTAACGTTACAATAGCGTAAATTGATTAATGTAACTTTTGGCATTGATTAGCTCTATAATTGTTTGTTACAATAGATTTCATTATTCTATCTGGCATGAATTATTAACTTAAATTGTTTCCAATTCCTTAGACTTTTATTTCTACGATGACTGTCCTGGACCTTGAAGCGCTACCACTACCACTCCCTGAAGAAGACGTGCAGCCCACATTTGACCAAGTATATACTAATATTTTGACAAATATATTTTTTTTTTTCACATGATTTAATGTGTCTGTATTAGCGTGCCGCGTTATTCACTTCCTTTTAGATAAGTACCTTAAATTGATGACATACAAAAATGTGATTACCTGTCTAATATATTTTTCTCCTTGATCGACTGGCCTTTTCACGGCAGTTGCCTCCAAGTTGCCACCAATTACATGATAATATTCGACTAATAAAAATACGAGCAATGATAACGCATTGGTATGCTTTTAAGGAAGAAAGCTTTTAAAATTTGACAATTATCGATTTTTTCATGAAATTGATGGACGTATTTTGCATTCCATCGTGAAGCTGAGATTTTTCGTTCAATATTACATATTAAGATTTTGACTTAAAAATTTTCCGTCTTTTGACCAATATTCTGGACATGGACAATCCCATGGATATACATCCCTTCAATTGAATTCTACAAAAAATAAAAGTTTCTGCTATTTGATCTCAAGTTTGCATTAAGAGAAAAGTATCATTCACAGAAAAACTAAGGTATGTATCTGTTTCTGCAGGGACTAATGGCTCGAAGGAGTCCGATCATCCATGCCTCTGACAGTCTAGGCTTCCTGAGACACCACTCGAAGCCACATAAACCAGCTCATGATCGAGGCTGCAGTCAAATAAAGAGGTGCCGGCACTGACTACTTGTGTCACTACTGGAAAAAAACTGGAACATCGTCATTTGCGTTTGGCCATCGTTATGTTTTAAACTCATGTCAAAAATTATTCATTTTCTAGCAAAAATAAGTTTCGTCTCTCAAAATTGTAGCTGAATCAAGAAATAAGGAAAGCCGTGGTGGAGTTTTCGGGACGCAATGAAGAAAAACAACTAATAGACGAAAACATGTAAAAGAAAGAGATGCAAGGTATCTACTCTAATTGCTTCAGAT